ATTTTTTTTTTTTTTTTTTTTTTTGTGGCTGGCTGGTATGGGAATCTGAACCCTTGACCTTGGTGTTAAAACACCCAGCTCTAACTAGCTGAGCTAACTAGCCAGCCCAGACCCAATTTTGTATTCATAATTGTGTGTCCTTTTTCTTTAAGAGGTCCCCTCCAAATTGTATGTGTTAGACTCCACAAAACCTGGATCCGGAGCTGATGGGGTGGGTCAAGATTGGTAGCAGAAGGTGGCAGTTGTGCACAGCTTTCTGCCCCCCGGCAGTCCATAGTCAGGCCAGGAGATGCTGCAGAATAAGGCCAAGGTGAAATTAAATTCAAAAGACAGAGACTTGAAGTCTGGCTCTTCCCACTCACTGATGTGTGACCTTTGGCAAGTTACTGAGCCACCCCTGAGCCACCCCTTCTCTACCTGAAAAGTCAACCAGCAACCCTTCACACAGTGTAAAGCAAACACAGTAGAGAAGAGGCTCCCACATCGAGGACCAGATGTGGATGCCAAGATGGTCGAATTTAACTCTAGCAACAGCCTTGTGGCGTGGGGGGATGATGATATTGTGCAGATGAGGAAACTGAGGCAGAGAATGGCTAAGAATCTTTTTCAAGGACACAAGAGTAGACTCAGCTCCTAAAATTTGGATATTCTCCACCCTGTAAGTAAAGGGCAAGACCCTAGGGTGAGGTCATGGCGGGGAAAGTCCTGAGAAGATGGGGATAGGTGGGGAATTCATATGTTCCACATACACACCTGGGACCAGGAGCCATGGCAGCAGCTGGGCTTTCCTTAGGAGGAAAGGGGACAGGGAAGTATATCCAGGGCTAGCAGAGGGTTGCTTCCTCATGGAAAATGAGTTAGGGGTGATGCCAGCCAAACCAATTGAAATGCCTTCAAACCACCCTCTTTAGTCCAGGGTCTGACCAGCACCATAACTGAGGGACTGATGTGCACAGTTCCTACCCTGCTCTATGCCCTGCCAAACTCAAGAAGGAGGGTCTGGCTGGGAAGACCCACTCTTCCTCCCCCTCACTAAGGTGTGGGATAAAGAAGCCTCAGAGCAGGGTTCAGGTCCCAGACGTGTTGCTTATCAGGTCATTAACTTCTCTGAACCTTCATTTCAATATGTGTAAAATGGGATAATAGGATAGACCTATATTTCTTTTGCAGGGTGTTCTAAGCAACAAATGAAATATTAACATTCGCTGATAGTTTCTGTATGTCAGGCCCTTTGCTAGTCACTTTTCTTACCTTGTCATAACAACCCCGTAATGTAGCTTCTGGGATTGTTTTCATTTTACATATGAGTAAACTGAGCAAACAGTGGGAAGCTGGGGTCTGCAGGACTCCAAGCACTTCACAATATTAGCTCCTACAGTCTGTATAGAAGGTGGTACACAAAGGCACCTTTTAAAATGTCCAGCCCAACTGAGTATCACCTCCTGTGGTAACTGACACATTTAGCCTGTCTTTATTTCAGTCCCTCAGCCCATACACCTTCCTGCCACCTCCTGGGGGAGCACCCCAGCCTCTCAACTCCCAAAGATCATACCCTGATTCTGCGGCCGACCTGCTGTCCGCCCTGAGCCAGGAGGAGCAAGACCTTATTGGGCCAGTGGTTGCCCTGGGATATCCCCTGCGAAGGGCCATTGTGGCTCTACAGAAGACAGGGAGGCAGAGCCTGAGCCAGGTGAGTGGGGGGCCCAATGCTGAAGGGGTTTGAAGCTGAAGCCAGGTGAGCGGCCATGTGGTTTTCATTTTTAACTTGAAGAACTTTTGTTTCCTTCTGTTTAGAGGCAGACCCTCAGCCTGGCATTAATTATTGGGGTTTGTGAACAAGTTTCTAGACTCCAATGCTACCTCCTCCATTGGAATTAATCAGGAATTCCCATGCCCACTTTGGGAGTATTAATATTCTATTCCTGTCCCAGTCTCTGCCCCAAGTACAGGGGCTAGAACTTTGGGCAGTCAGAAATCTCTCCAGAACTGTCCAATAGAACTCTCTGTAATGAGAGAGATGTTTTATATCTGTGTTGTCCAATGCAGAAGCCATTAGCCTATGTGGTTACTTGAAATGTGGCTAGTGTGATTGAGAAAATGAATTTTTAACTTTATTTATTTGTAATTAATTTAAATTTAAATTCAAATAGCTACATGTGGCTAGTGGCTACCATCTTGGATGGCACAGATTTAACCACTTCTCTGAATGAATAGTTTATCCATCCCCATATCCATCTCTCTCTCTTTCATCTTACCCATCCATCCATCCACTTATTGGTATTTAGATGCAGCGAGGAGCTATGGGGAAAACCAAGGTACATAAAAACCAGTGTTACAGGTTGGGTTCCCCAGGAAGCAGACTCAATGGAGTTTGCATGCAGGATGTTTATTAAGGAGGTCCTTGGGATCAACTCCTGTGGAAGGGAGGGGACAGAAGCAGGAGTGGGCAGAGGGAGAAGTTGAGCTATAATGAAGTCCTAATAACAGCATCAATCACCCCCACAGCTCCAGAGCATCTGTGGTCCCTTAGAGTTGTCCTAAGTGGGACTGAGATGGTCGGGGCTTTATATCCCTGACTCAATCATTCATTGCATGTGGGAAGGGGGTGACTTGAGAGAAGAGTATCTCTGCAGCTAAGGAATCCCTAAAGGGACAGACAGCTGAAGGGTGTCAGCTCTCCCAGCATCTGAGGGAACAAGTCCTTCAATGAGGAAGGTACATCACAAAGTCCAGATTCTGTCCTGGAAGAATGGTGGATACTCTGGATGACACTCAAAGGGTAGCAGTCCAAGCTGCTCTAATATTTAGAAGCAGGTCTTGATCCCCAATACAAGCCAAGAATGTGAGAGCACCTGCAGGGGAATGAAGGCCCCCAAAGTACCTAAGAAACAGGTGCTAGTAGCAAGATGTCTGGGAACAGAAGCAGTATAAGTGCTACCAGGGTGTTTTTGTCACATATTGCTGTGTAACAAACCACCCCAAAACTTAGTGGCTTAATACAACCATTTATTTGCTCATGATTCTCTGGGTTGGCAGTTTTGGGGTAGGCTCAGCTAGGTGGTTCTTCTGCTGGTCTCACCTGAGGTCCCTCCTGTGGCTACAGTTTGTTTACTCAATTGGGGCTAAATGGCCTAAGATGGCCTTACTCACAGTCCAGTGGTTAGTGATACTAGTCAGCTGGGCCACATATCTTCAGCAAACTCGCCCTCTTGGTTCCAAGAGAGCAAGAGTGAAAGCTGCAAGGCCTCTTGAGGCCTAGGCTGAAATTGTACATAGTCATTTCGACCTCATTCTGTTGGTCAAAGCATGTCATAGACTAGCCCAGATTTAAAGGATGGAAGAGGGCCGGCCCGGTGGCGCACTGCTACAGTGCGCCGCTTGGGAGTGCGGTGGCGCTCCCCACCTCATTCTGTTGGTCAAAGCATGTCATAGACTAGCCCAGATTTAAAGGATGGAAGAATCTCTTAATAGGAGGGGCCACAAAGAGTTTATTGTCAATCTACCATGAAGAGGTTCCAGTGATCAAGAAAGTCTTCATGGAGGTGCCAAGCAGTGAGCTGTACTTCAAGGATAGATAAGGTCTGACTTTAAAGGCAGGAGGAGATGACACTCCAGGCAGGAGAGACAGTGTGCACAAAGGAGCTGAGGCAGGAAGGAAGTGTTTGGGGGGCCTGACCTAACCAGACTTTCTAGAGGAGATGGTATATGAGACAGGCTGGAGGGAGATAAGACAGGGAAGGGGAATTGGGGGCAGATTGAGGGTCCCTTGAAGGCTGGGCTGAGAATTTGATAAATGATCCCAAAGGCAAAAGGGAGGCATGGAAGGATTATGAGCAGGAGCAAGAGGTACCATTGAATGACACTGCCTGCACCCCCAGTCTCCCACTTGAATGTAACATCCCCCTTCACTGGCTGGTACTGGGATCTGAACCATTGACCTTGGTATTATAACACTGCGCTCTAACCAACTGAGCCAACCAGCCAGCCCCATATTGTTTTCTAAACATCAGCATTCTTCTTGGTTGGAAAGCTGGTTCCAGAGCAGTTGACACATTCCTTTTTCTCCCGTCCCTGCCCCACCACCATCAGAGGGCTTGGACACCTTCTCAGTAATCACCAATGACTGCTGAGTGCTGGGTCCCTCGGGTCCAGAGCTGCCTGCTTCTGGGGGAGGGAGTAGCAAAAGGAGAGTGACTCTCAAATTGGAGCTGGAAGCAGGATGTGCTGCTGCCAGGTTGGAGAGGTGGACAAATGCACCTCGTCTCCTTGCCCTGCTCCTACTCTACTCTAGGTTCAATAGTCCATGCCATCACCGAGGAACACTTCCAACACTGTGACCCCCATGTGGCTAAGTGGTGGGGAGGGGTTGTGAACATTTACTCAACACTTTCTTTGCACCAGTCCCTCAATCTTAGAGTACTAAATTAGGTCTTCTCAATTGTACAAGGTTGCTATTATTGTCCTGACCACTCTGCAGAAGACGAAGCTGAGGCCAGGGAGATGGTCATGTAGCCAGTCAATGGCAGCACCAGGGTTGAGGCCAGGCTGGTCTGATTCTGAATCTTTGTCACATAGTACTTTTATTTTCTGTGTGAGAACCTCCTAGGACAGCACCCCAGACTGATCTGAGATTTAAGAGCAGATCTAAAATTGCTCCTACCTTCAGCTGCCACTGAAAAGCCAGGACCTTGGCCAAGAAGCTGGCCAGGAGGGCTGTGAAGGGTCAGGCCCACAGTGGGGCTCTGACGTGCCTTCCCAGTACCTCTGGGCCCTGTGACAAGGCTGAGTTCTCAGGCCATCTACTGCAGGGGGTCTGAAGAATAGTCTGAGCCAGCACAGGGCACTGGCCTCCCAGTGGGTGGGCTGGAAGGATCCCACTACATTGGGAACATTGTGTTTCCAGATATAGACTGACCACCTGCCTGGCCCCCTGGTGGGCAGTCAGGGGCCAGGCCCCAAGGGGTGGGCCTGAGGGGCCTTTGGATGACTTCATCTATCCTCCCCCACCAAGTTAGTATTTCCCTCCATTCTATGAAGTTCCACCATTAACTGAGCAACTCCTTCAGGTTCAGATTCTTTCTCCCATTGCAAGACATGCTCTACAGTAAATCCTTTTTGGGGCCAATATAAATGACAGATAGCCCAGAAGGGAGGACATCCAATGATGGAGACAGGCCACTTAGAAGAGTCAGGGGAAGAAGAAGAGACACAGAAGATAAGCTTTGCCCAGCACTCCTGCATTTCTTCCATGAGGTTTGAAGTGCCCACTGACTGCCTGCAGGACTGGCACGGGTGGCACATGTGAATGTCCACAGGCCAGGTCCAGGAATGCTATAGGACTACAAGCACACCAGGACCCCTCTTAGAGC